GAGTAACTGTGTGCTAAATCTAGAAGTATTTAATACATAATGATCATCTGTGTATCCAGAATGAAAATGATCTTCTTTAAAATGTAATACAAAGCTAATCTGTTATACAGATAGCGCAAAATAAAGATCTAAACTAAAAGAGATCTAAAGGAAGATAACCCAATCAAAATTGTTACAATAAATCTTAATTATTTGATATAGGAATAAGTTTATTAATTAATCTCTTTTGATCAAGACATATACAAAAAATCATTAAAATTTCAGAAAGATTAATACATGTATTATTAGTCTTTATAGATAATATTAAAATTAAAATTATAGCAATATATTTATCAACATCTAATCTAGAAAAAGATCACCAAAACAAAAAAATAATAATGTACTATATAAATAAAATCATATCATAAGCAAATCTTTTTATAATTAGAGGTAATTTTAATAAATACTTGTTTGATTTATCAAAAAATAGTTTATAATCACTACTTAAATTTAAAGATGTTATTAAAATAAATTAATATTTATATTTAAATATTAATATATATATATATAGTTAAGAATAAATTTCAAAAGATACTTGAACATGATCTGATATAGTCATAATTTAATTTTAATTATCAACTAATCAAATATCTCAGATCTATACTAGATTTTAACTAATCATCTAATAATACAGTCATCTTTTAATCTTTTCTCTATACTTTACAAAACTTCTCTTTAGTAATCAAAAGATAGAAAACAAAAAGATTAATATATATTACTAAAAATACTTTTCAAGAAGACTAAATACTATTTGAAGAAATTATTAACTCATATCCAAAAATCAATATAAATTATATAAACTAATCAATATTAGAATTATAGATTATAATCAAGTATATACTTTTAGATATAGCTAACCAAGTATTTAAAAAAAATCTATATCTATTTATCAAACACAAAGTATCAAAACTATGAAATTACAAAAAAAAAGCAAATTAATAGGAAGTATATTATATTTTTAATATTATTTATATATATTAAATATTTTAAAATATTATTAAAAAATTAAGTTTATTTAATATATTATATATTATATAAAAATTTGAATTAAATTACATTTATTTTAGTTTAAATTTTTATTTTATATTATTTATATTATATTTATTAGTTTATATTATTTTTTATAAAATTTATTCTGAATATATGATATATTAATTTAATTAAATTAATTATAATTATTCTTTTATATTTTTATTTATTATTATTTATATTAATTATTTATTAATTATATATTAGTAAATTAAGTATAAATTATTTCTTAGAAATATAATATAATTATTTATTTATATTTTATATTTAATTTTTTTATATAAATAAGTTATTTTATTTTATACCTTTAATTTCAGATTTAAATATTATTCAAATAATAAAATTATAAGTATTTATAAATTAAAACTATTTACTTTATATTTTATTTTATTTATAATTATAAATAAATAATTTTATAACTTAGTAACAATAAATATAATTATTATTATATAATATTATATTTTATAATATATTAATATATATATATTTATATATATATTAGTTTTAGTAATTTAAAATTATACTAAAAATAAATAATAATTAATTTAAAAAATTTATAAAAAATATAATTAAATTAATTGATATTATAAAAGAAAAAATTTTTATTAATTTTAAGTTTTTACTTTTTTTTTAATAAAATATTTATTATTCTAAAGAAATTATAAAATATATTTTATTTAAATAATATAAATTAATATAATATTTACTATTTAAATATAATATATAACTATATTTTTAAAAAATATTATTTTATATTAATATTTTAACAAATATGAAATTATTAATAATTCTAAATTATTTAAGAAATAAAAAGTTTTATTAAAGAATTAAGAAAATATTTTCAGTTAATATATTAATAATATTTTTATTATTAATTATATTAAATAGAATTTATATAAGACTATAATATAAAATTTAGAAATATAATTAGATAAATTAAGATTTAGATTATATTTCTTATTTTATAAAAGATTTTAAATTTAATATAAAGATAAAAATAAGTTACTAATTATAAGAAATCTTAGAAAAAGCTTGAAATTTAGTTATTTATTATAATATAATTATATATAAATAAAGTAAATTAATAAGTATTTAAAATAGATATAATAATAATTATTTATATTAAAATAAAAATTATTAAAACAATTAATTTATATTAATAAAACTAAATTAAATAAGAAGTTTTTATAAGAAAAATATATAGAAAAATAATAAATATATATTATAATTATAAAAAATTAAATATTTTATAAAAATTATTATTTTAAATTAAAAATAAAGATTATTAATATTATAATATATAAGAAGAAATACTATATTAGAATAAATAAATTATAATTATAAAAGTTTACTCAAATTTAATGATTAAATTAATAATAAACTAGTTTGAATATTATTAAATAATAGAATATTTATTAATAAAAGCTTTATATAAAAGAATAAAATCAAAACTTAGAAGATAAATTCTATTATTATTGAACTTATAAATAACAAGAAATTGATTATTATTATTATAATAAAGATTAATAAATTGAAATTAGATATATATTATATATATAAGATAGATTTATAAGTTTTTAAATTATAAAAATATAATTAATTCTTAATAAATCTTGATTATTTTAAATTAATTTAATTATAAATTAGAAAAATAATAATATTATTTTTATTTATAGGTCTTAAATTATCAAAGTATAGGCTAATACTAAAATTAATCTGAAATAAATTTTATAAAAATATTATTATTTGATTTATTTAATCAAAATAAATCTAATAATAATATTTTTATTTAAACTAATCACTAAATATTAAGATATTACAGCTTAAAGTAACTAATTACATTTTTTAATAATTAATTTCTAATAATTAATAAAAATGAATATCTCAATATTTAGTGATTTAATTTAATAAATATATTATTATTTGATTATTTTAATAAGATAATTTGAATAATAATATATTTACTTGAATTAAATATCAAGATATTTTATTATAAACTAATAATTTATTATATTTATAACATAGATATTTAATAAATATTTAATATATAATATAGCTTATAAAGATGTAAATATTAATTTTGTATTTACATTATTATTTAACAGATCAAATATAAAGAATCTGCCAAGTAAACCATGAAACTATATGATTATAATTTAGTTTTTCATGTTTTATTAATTTATTATAAGTAATTGATTATTATTCTGACTTCATATTAAGTTATCTGATCAAATTGCTTTCTTTAATGTTACTAGTTCTTTTAATTTATTATATTTTCATTATAATTCATAATCTATAGGTAGATTGCACAATGAGCAAGAAATTTTGGAACTAATCAATATAGCTTTATTATGAAAAAATATGTGTATTTTTATTTTAATTGAGAGGATTTATTACAAATATTAGTTAATTATCTATATATAGCTCTATGAACTAAAATCTAACATTAACTACTCTTTCCAAAGCTCTATTTATAATAAAATTTTCCTTCACATTTCCCAACTTTATCATACGTCCAGACTAATGAATGATCTTTATTTTGATTCATTAGTTGGTACACCTCCCATATATTCAGGATTTATTGGTATCTTTCCATTCTTTCACAATGATGCATCAATTGTGGCTCTGATGCATTGCTATTATCATTAAATCACGAGCTCTGATCCCGTGCACAATATCACGCGGATCGGAATCTACGTGACAATTCCATGCGACGGTGTGTTTGTAAAATTTCGGTAAATTACACATGATCTATGGAAAGTTGTGGGTAGATCTTATACGATTCATGATTATCGTTATGAAAAAGTTAATTAATTCTAATAACAAAATTTCTCATAATATGGAATACATTTATTAGATTACCCCATGCCATGTCAACAGTTACATCAATAAAAGAGTTATAATAAATACTACATAATAAAGATTCAAATAGAGAGAATTACCACAAATTGAACATTTTGTAATGTCACAGGCGATCGATATTTTTTAATGCCTCATTTGTACATGTAATTGGTAATGAAAACGAGATCAAAAGTTGCATTTTTTTTAATTCAAGAGTCACTCGAATAAAGATAGGAAAATTGAATGCAAATAAGTATTTTTATTGTACGCCGTTAAATAGACAATTTTCCTCATTCGAAAATTTTCCGTTACTTACATGTACAGTATGTACATATATGATGATGTTATCGAATTAATATTTTAAATTCAAAACAAGCTCTCAATTATGTTGAAATGAAAGTTTACTTATGTTATTGAAGTTTACTAACTCGCAGACTTCAAGGATTTATATCGATATCGATGTAGTACAATTCGACAGCATTTTAAAATGAAATATGTTATTTATTTTATGAAAGATGCAATAAATGTTCTAAAGAATTTGACATACAGATATTTCAACATCAAGCAAAAAAATAGAGCACGGTTTATCTCCGAGGCCACATCATGGTTCAATATAGATATTCCAAAATTCTCAAAGTCAAAACATCAAATGGATTATATGCCTGCGCCGAAATTGCCGACTGTTTGCAATAATTCCAGTCTTTTTCTGAATCAATATACAAATTTCCTTTCCTCGAATATGGATATATAAATGGAATTTCAATGTACTTTGAATTCAATCTTTCCTGCAATAATTTGACGAAGATTGGTAGGGTTACGGCAGTGTTAATTGAGATTAAGTGATTTTTGTTTTGGAATTCGAGTAAGAACACAATCTATATTTAAAGTAAAAAGACATATTTGCATTTAGTTGATAATAACAACCTTGAAAATAAGATTTTGTTACCTCAGAAAAATTTATTGGTTTCAAGTCTGCTGCTAGATTGTGCTTTGTCAAGGCGTTTCTATGAGGTAATGATATCGTTGAATTAAACACTTATCAAACTTTATAAATGGAAATATTTCTAAGCCATTTATTTACCTCAAGCTTTCTTCGAATGAATGTGTCTCATATTCAGAATCCAAATTCTCTACGAATAACTCAATATTTGTCAAGCTGGATGATGGTTTTATCCAATCAATAGATACTCGAATCTCGTCAGGAAAAAATTCCCGTATCTAATGCAGAAAATGTAAGGTCGCCTAATCATTCTTTTCCAAATATCGATAGATGCATTTCATTCAAATATTTCAAAAAGATGTACCGGGGAGATAAAACTTTTACTATTTGGCTTCAACAACAACAAAATTTTATTTTTTTGCCGTAAAACTTGCCCAATGCAATTAATCTTGAAATCGACTTTATGTTTTTCATCATCCAAAAATAATGTCAAAGCTCCATTTTTCGAATCAAACGTTGCCGAACATTTATTCGAGTAACCAAGTATTCCGATTTTTATTTTTTCTAATGAAACATGGATTTGAGAATTTGCGATCTCTTCTGATCCAAAATCATCTTCATGATGGTCAAATGAATCTTCATTGAAAAGTAACTGTTTAGATGATTGTTCCCGACTAAAAGATGATACTTTTAGTTTCTTGGAAGTAGGCAAATACAATACATTTGCCAATGAGTCATTAGGTGAAATAGCGTTATTTTCAGGAATTGAGCTAACATATCCAAGTCGTGAAAAAATAGAAGACTGAGAAGTTGATTTGATTTGCTTTGAAAACTTGATCCTGGATAATATTGATAATTTGTTTTGTGTCTTTTCGTTATCGGGCGAGAAAGAAGATATCTTACGTTTTCTGCTTTGTTGCATAGCTTGGGTAGATATATTTTCAGTAGCATTAGTGGCAGATGTAGATGAAGTTTTTGATTTTTGTTTTGCTACGGTTTTACAAATTCCAAAAGCATTGCAAGTCTCAACATCAGCCAAATTATTATTGCTAGATTCTTTCGTTTTCTTTTGTAATGCTAAATCCATCCTTGCACGATCGAAATTCACTATGATTGATGGACGCTTTTCATTTTTAAAGCGCTGGTGGCGTTTTTCGTCTTCATCATCATCGTCAAAATCGCTATCGTTGTGGCTAATTTTCTAGACATTAAATATTAAAAAAATTGAGCTATGTGTGAAATCTTGCTATAAACAATTGTAAGCTTACATCATTAATGATGTTAGGAACATCTTCTTGGCAGTAAAAATTTGCAAAATCAAGTTCCATGTCCATTTTTATTTTCAAATAATAATCATTATAACACTACTTTAGAAAGAAAACTCAATAATAAAAAGTAATGAACTTTCTTATTTCAATATTACTTCAAAATGTCATTTTATATAAAAATGATGTTTAGAACGTCCGACTTATCAAAATTTGATAAACTTTGAAAGTCATAACATATGATCCTCGTTACGTGTGCTATAAGCTAGATAATAAAGTTATTTGGTGAATTATGGTGATGTGTTCTATTTGTCTTGTGTAAAAATGATTTATTCAGTAATCTACCTTTTAATTTATATTATAACTATCAAATTATACAGCATATACGATAAAGAAAAGTATTATCAAATGATCTGAACGAATTTTACACAAAGAATTTGTGCATTGTGACTTTTATCCTGGTAATATATTACTATTGGATTATATTCCTCAAATTGCTAATTCTGGACTTAACATTTCTACAAATATAACCAAGAAACCTATTGGCGTATTCCTTATATGAATCCAGAATTGTTTAATTAAACGCCATAAATTAAAGCTGCAGATATTTATAATTTGCGTGGTTGTGCACAACAAGTGAACGATCATGGAGTCATGATTATAATCTTACATATGACATCTATAAAGGAGTGCGAATCTATTATAAAAATTATGTTCCTGGATAGTGTAAATTAATCATAGAAAGATGTTGAGATCCTATTCCGGAAAATAGATCAACTGCCAAAGAACTTTTAAACTTTTCTACTCTATTCACTTTGATAAAGAAAACCGTTTTAAACTAACTATTATGCATTTCATTATTGCAGTTCTTAAGAATCTCCTAAAACTATAAGTTAGTAATAATTGAAGAGCTCGATGAGAAGACAAAATTAAAAAAAAAGCATTTCCATGAATATAAACAATTATACGAGTTGAATATACAGTACATTATATTGCATTCTAATTTTAAAACTGTTTTCGAAGAAAATGAAGATATGCCGAATGACTTGAGAGAAAGCTTACAGATTTAAATAGTGAAGCTAACTGATTTTAACGAACATATGGATTTTTATTTACATGTACTGCCGCAGGTAGGTTTAATGTACGTGGTTTTAGGGAATCTGTGAACTGTGACTGTGGATGGGAGAGGATGATTAGACTAATTTTACCTGTTGGTCTAAATCCTGTGCCGATATCTACGGATATCGTTTAATATGGCATTCCATGGAAGAATTAGTAAGTAATTAGAAGGGGGGTAAAAAGGATTTCGTTTACTAATTATAAACTAATCTATTCTTTAATCATATGCCTTTTCTAGTTAAAAGTCTTAAACTCAGACCAATCAATCAATCAATCAATCAATTAATAATGCGTTTCGCCTTTTCTGGACCAAAAGACCTAACTAATTCGTTATCTTTTCTGATGGGAAGAACCTAACCAACATGTCTAGAATTACAATTCCTCTCAAAAAATTTTACAAGCATTTTTACTTGGAGAAAAGGTTTTGTACACAAGTTTATTTCTTTTCTGTTTTTAAAGGCTTGAAAGCCATCCTTTATATGCATTTTTTGTAAGCTTTTTCTGTTTACTTAAAGAAATACATTCCAAATATAATTCTCATTACATTAATAGAATACAGTAATAGCAGAATAATTAAAGTATGACTAAATAAAGAGTTATGTCAAACATCGCAAACAATTATGCTAAAAAACATGGATGATTGTGCTGATATATATAAACTATTATGCTAAAAAGTACTGAAAATTGGAGAGCAATCTATAATACTTACAATATGTGCTGGAAAATGCTGAAAAATAAAAGCATGACATGATTTCGTGTGCTAAAAAATACTATAAATAAGGAACATGACATGATGATGAATATGGTACTGAAAAATTCTAAGAAGATTATATAGTGTCATGAATACTTTATGATTGAATAATTCCCTTTATAATTTTCAGAATTAGGAATTTTAATAGAATTATGATAATAGTATATATAGATATAATGATTGATAAAATTATTTGAGATAAAATTTATTTAGCTAATCAGATTCTAAGTCATAAAATATTTCTAATATGATCTCAGTCATATAAGCATATGATCTAGATCATAAGATCATAAGGTCATAAAATTATGACTATAGATTATATGATCAATATGATCTTAATAATATGACTAAATATTATAGATTATAAATTATAACCAATCAAAAATATTTGAATTTTTGAATTTTTTCATTTCGTTTTTTACTATGACTTTTCATAACTTTAGAAGCTATTTTACTTTAGTAAAAATCCAAACAATCCTACAAATGCTCTTGCAATATGTAATAATGTATAAGTAAATATGATAAATTAGGAGCAGCTCAATTAAAATCAGAATGCTGTACTGTTAACAGAGCTTGTTTGTATCATAATTATCTATCAAAATATAAAGCTTTCCATAAAGCTAATACAAAAGAAGAAGTGAAAAGAATTGGCTTTATCAATACCAGAAAATAAAAGAAAAAAATGCAAAAAGAATAATAATAAAACAGATAATATATTAATTTTTAAGTTTATTATATTTGTATTATAATATTCAATAATTTAATATTATTTAATGAAGAATCTGATACTAGTAATAATGAAGTATTAATTCGAATATTAGTAAATTTCAAGCCAATTCAACTAATTCAAGCCACTTATCTATCAATAATCAATAATTAGTAACTACAAATTTTTTTTGCTGATCTCTTTCAGCCAATAACATAAACAATTATTATTAAGAATAATATGCTGCCTTTTACATTTATTGAAAATAAAAATACTATTACTATGTTTGAATTTTTGATATCAGGACTTGAATTATCTAAGTGCAAAATTATTAATAAAAATATTAATGAAAAGTGCACAATCATTGCAAGATAAGTTGCTAAGAGTGATATAAATAGAATAACTATAATATTTGATAGCTGGATAAATATAAAACAAGAGTATATTTGGAGAGAAGTTTTTATAACTACAAGTAAACAATCTTTAATATGGAGTGCACATGATATCAGTTCAGAAAGATTACAAATACAAAATATAATCAATCATATTGAGCAATTAATGATAGAAGCTGAAGAAAAACAAATTAATATCAAGATATATATTTCTGATTCAGCTGGTAAATATGCAGTAGCATAATAATTTTATTTAATTTATTACTTTTATTATTTTTTTATTTTTTATCTACAATTTAATTTTTATAATTACAGAGAAAGTATTCTTTAAAATTTTTTTTATTATGTATAGCCCATCAAATAAACTTAATATTTGGTAAAATTTTCAAAGAATCAATTCTATATTAAAGCATCTCTAAATAAGTAATACAGATAGTCAGTTTTTTTCATGGAAAATCTCAGAGATGAACAAATGCAAATTTATAATAAGATAATTGCACTAATTACACCCAGAGATACAAGCTGAAATTCATATTAATTTTGTTTTCATTCTATATTAAAGTCAAAATCTGTTCTCAAGGTAATATCATTAAATTATTTGATATATAAAACAATTTTTAATCTATTATTCTTATTTAGTTGTTTCTTTTGGCCGAGTTTAATGACCATTATACCAATGTAATTCGAACAAATAGTATTTCCTCTATGTCAGCCAATAATCAATCAATACTACGTAATGGTACCCAAAAACTTCCAGATGATATTGCAGATATCATAAATGATACCCAGTTTTGGATAATATTATCTAATCTACAAGAACTTTTATATCCTCTTTGTGGTTTCTTGAACAAGATACAACCTGCCTATATGAAGTTCTTTACTGTTTTGGATATATGATAAAAATGTTCGATCCTATCAAGATTTTGAGTTTGGATCAAAAATGGTGACGCGCATTGGATTACGTTGGAATAAATGGGAACAACTATTAAGGCTTCTTTCTTTCGCACTATATCCTCGATACAAATTCAATAGTACAGTTGCTAATTTATCATGAACTCATGTTGGACAATGGCTTAAGTATTATTATGAAGTATGGTTTAATTCTAAACCTGTCTCTGTTTTAGCTGAATTAATACAGTACAAGCGAGGAATTAATCCATATGATACTGAATTATTTATGCATTTTAATGGAAATTTAGTGGATTTTTGGGAGTCAACTGAAGGAGTCGGTCCAGAATTGGCACGAGTGGCAATCCGTATCCATGGCATCTGCGTTAACGCTGCATCTGACTAACTGGCAAAATCGATTGCAGGTTTGTATATTAAACAATTGTATTTCCATTTATTTTATATTTACATTTATTGTAACTGAGATTACAGCAAAAAAAGTCTTGGCAATGAGCCAAATTCGGAGTGATATTCTTTGTTCTCACAAAATAAAAGTATAATCCACCGATTACATATTGCGACACCTATACTGCCAGATGATGAAACTGTGGAACATGAACCAACTACCATTGGATTCGATTACCAAGTGAGCGACAAGATAACTTTGGAGAGGGAACAAGTTCCGGATCTTATTATCAGACAAATCAAAATTCCGAAGAAAATGAAGATTTGGTTACGGGTGAAGAACAAAGGTGAGAAAATCTAATTCAAGAATGGATAGAGTTTGGAAATCGTGAGAATCAATCTGAAAACCAAGAAGATGCAATTTTGTTGTCAAGTGATTGGGATACAGATTTTAGTTTAGGGGGACGAGAAAAACATCCTGCTGATGACGAAACAGCCAAATGGTCTTTAGATTCACTTTTCATTTCTTCTTTGGAAATGCTTGTATATTTTGATTCAGAGTTTACTGTAACAGGATTACGTTGAGATGAGCATGGGGAGTATTAGTGTTGTAGGCATTAGGATTTTAGATCTAGTAATTTTTCAGTTGTTAGTATATAAAAAGTTAGGAAACAAGTTTATGTAAAGTACTTGCTTACCGTTTTTTTTAATTAGCATTATTTTATACAATTTCATCACGCTTTTCTGCCTTGTACTGTGTACCTTCATCATCGTTGATCCAGAAGGTTTGTTCCAATGGCATTTGCAGTGTCGTCCTTATTTTTTTTGCGTAATTTCTATTGGCCAATCGTTTCGTAATTTTCTATTGGATGAAAATTATGGCTCAGGTCATAAGTCATACGAGGATTTTTATGACCTTATGACCTATGACAAGTCATAGAGATCATAGGCCAACCCTGGTCTACCGAGTGTACATGCATATGTCATCTCTAAGAACAGATTGACATTTAATGTAAAGCGCAGCAATGATGATGACGACGATATTATTGATTACTGAATGAATATTCGATATAGTGATGCTGTAATAATTACTAAATGCTACAACAGAAAAGAGTACCGTCAAATATCACAAACGAATTTATAACAATAGTGGAGATAAAATTTCGAATCGATTACTTCGAAAGATTTATCTACGTTGAATATCTTGCAAAAGAAGGTTTGAATCAATTTATAAAGCAACCTCAGTTGGATGGACCATTGAATAGAAAATGGAATCATTAAGAGATAAATTTATACGACGGGTGGGAGAAAGGTTGTGTTGAAGTTACTCCAGAGTTTATAAACGAGATAAAAATGTACATTTTTCTAAAGTGAAAGTTCCTTTTGATTTCTAATATAATCAAATTTTTCAAAAATAGATGCAGAACGCTCTTAAAATTCACTGATGTTTTTTAATATTAAGCAAATGGAAACTAAAACCCTGCTACAAGCGATGAATTATGCAAACTACGAAAAATTGACTTGGGAATCAAAAAATTATACTATTCACATGCAATTATCTCTATCTTAGAAAAATTCACAAAGAAACTTTTATACATCGTGACTTTCATCCTGGAAATATATTATTAATACGTAACAATGCGCCTCAAATTGTTGATTTTGGACTTAGCATTCCAACAAATATAGAAAATTTAAGCAAGAAATTGTAGAATTTCTTATACGAGTACAGTGTTAAATGAAATGCAATGCACTAACGCTACAGCTTTGAAATGGTTGTGTATGGAATTGTAACTGGTAACATTTCATATTAACTGAAAAATTATACAAGTGTTCGTTTATTTGTTCCATACGAGGTAAGAGTACTTTTAACGTTACTATTGTATTAATGTAAGTTTTTCATTGATCCCTTAAATTCAGAATCTTTTCTTTGGTGGTTCAAAAATTAGATCTGGAGAATGAAGATGTGCCGAGTGACTTGCGAGAAAACTGACTGATCTTAACACGAACCAAAAACTATTTACATTTCTTTGTATTTACGCGCATATATATATGAATGAGTTATAACCGTCATTGTTGTCATTTCATTTTTTAATCGACCATGCGAAATTACTTTTCTACCTCAAAGTTTCACTTGTAGACAGGTGTTTTTTATATTAAGCACACGACAATTAAATTTATTTACTCACAGTCGTTATGCATACATGTACTGGTACCTCGAAAGTAGTTAATCAATTGTATTTTTCAAAATTGAGTCCAAGAGCTGTTTTAATTATAAAACCACGAAAAGATTTTTTACATTACCGTGAATATATATTGTACGTTTCATTGCACGTACACGTATAATGAAGTTATTGAATTTCGGATTGCATAATGATAATACATGTAATATGGAACATTCTTTTAATATTATACTTGAAAATTATCAGAAAATTATACAGAATAAGGAATTATATATCAAATGTGAAAATGTGAACACTTTAAAACTATGCGCTCTATGTTTCGTAAAGAATTTGAAAAATATGTACCAGTGAATGCCTTTATTTCTGTTTTAATTACGATAAAATTTCTTTAATCTAGATATTCTAAATACACGTATAGACTGTTTTTATTATACATGCTTCATAAGGGAACGAAAAAGTAAAGGAAAATGACTTATTATTTTTATCTGTGCAGTACAATTATCCAGAAAATTTTTTTACTAATTTAAAGCACCAGATATTGACTGGCCACATTATTATTACTATTATTATTCTTCTTTTATTATTATTATTATTATTGCATAATTTCCAGGTATCATTATAAAAAATTACCTTATATTAACGTATTGAAAATAATTTGGAGTATAAAGAACAATTATATCTAAAGATTTAAAGAGCCGGAAGAATTGGAGTTTTCTCAATAACGACGGCTTCCAATTCAATTGGCGAGACGCCGAGAACGGCGAGAATGAAAGGCGCAATCGAGCGAGTTTCAACAGGGCGAGAATCAACTCTAGCATTAATCAGGGGGTTGGCGACGATAATTGGAACGTGGATATCATCTTCGTTAAAACCACCATGTTCGGCAATCTTAGTTGCGGATGGCTTAACGTAGATAACACCGGGATTGGTTTTTATTGCAATATCGGGGCATCGAGGGTCTTTAAGTGGGTCACAAGAAAATTCACTCTTAAGACTGTCACCTTCATAGACTGTTGTAATGGCGAGAGCAGTGGCATTAGCTCGAAGTCTGTCCGCAGCAACTTTTGAATCGGAATGATTTTTCAACCAGAAGAGCGCAACATCGTCCGTCGTTAGTTGATTGATTGGAACACCAACTTGAGCTGTTAATGCATCAGGAGAAATTTTCTTTAATTTTGTTTGATCTATAGGAGATTGACCATGTTTTGCGGAAAGGATGATAATTGTGTTTTGCGATAACTTTGCTTGGTCCAAAGCATCCTTGAATTGTTTAATAGCATCATCTACAAATAAGAAAGCCTTAAGGAGATCATCTGTAGGATTAGCTGCAGCATCCTTATAACCAACAGCTTTTTGAGCAACACTGACAGTTTGGAAATTGCAACCGAAGATGGATGGGACCGTGAAAGGTGTCTTGCCATCCGATTTTAGACCTTTGATCCAATTGAGTACAGCAGCGATATGAAGTTTATCATAGCCTTCAACGGCTTGGATATCGGTTTTATTGACCCCATTGATTTCGGGAACATACAAATCATCAACACCAGTTCCGGAAGGACCACGAATAAAGGAGTAGGCAGGTAGTTTATCGGACCAAGCTGTTACAAGATTGTGTTTCTTGGCGACCTCAAAGATAGTGTTGACTCGAAGAAATTGCCAAGGCTCAACTTTTTGACATTGACCTCCGACAATTCTTAATGGCAACTTACTTTCATCGAGGGTTGTAAACACCGCAGTAGAATTGGCGTCAAGTGATTCGTCCCAAACTGTGTTATAACCAGGAGTTCCTTTACAATTGCTGCCGGGTGCGAAATATGTACCATCCCTAGTAAAAATGAAGAATGTGATGTCTCATTTCCGAAATGGGTGAAACCAATGGCACATTTCAATTTGTATTTTCGTTATCAATTGCTTACCATGCATCATCGTACCAAACACCAGTAGTTCCTGGTCTGCCACCTGTCACTTGAGCTGTGAGACCGGGAAAGGAATCACTGGGTAAGGAGGTTGTAGCATTGTTGAAATATACACCATTTTTAAGAAGGGAGGCAATAGCAGAGTTCGGATTGGATTTGGTAAACACGTCAACATCCTTTTGATGGAGACCGTCGATTGAGATGAGAAGGACGTGTTTAATTGGATCGAAATTACTGGGTATACCGAACGAATTAGGTGCACCGTACGAAATTGTCACGGAGCATAACAAGGAAACAATAACCGATAATTTTGGAATAATCATGATGAAAAATTGATAAAACCTATACTTTTATCTCATTAAACAGATCTGATTATTCTGTAATGTCCGGTTTTTCAGAGTGCTCTTGTATTTATACTAATACATGCACTAAATCAAAGACGGTAAATCCTGCTCGTTTAGATTTTTTGTTTACCAATTTAAAAATTTCCGTAAAAAGGGATCGCGAAAACGTGTAATTCCACGAGGGCGATGAAGATATTGATAGCCAATTAAATCAAATCGGATGTACCGCAATTTATAATTGCATGGATATTTGATTGCTTGGCATTTTGGTACCATCAAATATGTGGCGAGTATACTGTATTTGGTTTGTAGCACGTGAACTTACAGCCGTTTGATTTTACAATATCACTAATCAAAATCTCTTCGCACCACACGTGTAAAACCTAAATATTTAATACACGATCGATTAATGACTTACGTATTTCGTCGCAATTTCATTTCCACATTAATAATAAATTTGCGCTATTTTATTGTTGTTAAATTGCTAATGATTTATGTTATGTTTGATGTATTGTTATGTCTCCGGATAAAAGAATAGGAGATGTCATCTCCCTTTCGACTATCCTGAAGCTTTAGACCAATTAAACTCTCATCAACCCCACGATGGACCGACTCTAAAGGTAATGCCGAGATCCGACGGCATCAACATAATGCATGTATTTCCATTTAATTAATTTATAGCAGGAAAAAAATGCCGATATTCCATGTAAACAATTAAACTTATTGGACCATATAGCCATATAGTGAACATTAACTTGATCAATCATGAACAAAAATCAATGAAAACAGAATCTGTGTTCACATTATGTGAAAATATTGTGAACATAACTTGGGAAGAATCAATGGGAAAAGATAGAGGAGGCATGGAATAATATTGATATTGATTATTGTATTAATTTAATTAATGTTAATACAAAGTCACAAAGTGTTAACGATGAAATTAAAGCGCAGGGTTATACGAGGTGGTAAAATTAATGTTTTATATACGATTGTTTATTTTTTCAATAAATATTAAGTAAAAACTATTTACATGTATGGGTTGGTGCAAAAAGATTTGTACCTCAGATAAATTATTTTTTCAAAATAAAATTTTAATTCTGTCTTATTTAATTAAGTTATTAGGTATTTGGGATTTATTTAAATGTAAAAATTTTTATTATATATCTTTTATAAAAAAATTTTTACTAATAATAACTCTTTTCAATTATTATTTCTTAAATTTTACTATATAAAATTTGATTAAAATTAATGTAAATATTATATAGTAAATAATTTAATTACTCAACTTTGAACCTTAATATCTTTATAACTATTGATTCAATTTTTATGAAATTTAGAATATATATTTATCAAATCTAGGGCAACCTGCTTGCGTAATTTGAAGTTCTAATATTACAAATTGATAGCAATAATATTTAAAATGTCTTTTTTTAAAAAAAATAATTTTATTTTAATTTTTTTTAGTAAAGTAATGCTTCATTTATTATTAAATTAAAGTATAATAGAATAGTATAAAAAGTTAATTTAGATCATTTTTTATTTAATATAAAAAAATTATAAAGATTGATTAAAATTTGAATGATTTTTATATTGAGGTACAAATCTTTTTGCACTGACCCATATATTTAAAAACGTCGCCGCCGTTATTATGTGACGTAAAAATAGTACATGTATTGTGTTCAAAATGTCTGAAATTAACAATAAAAAATCATTGAATAATGAAGTTAGAAAAATAAATAGGCTTTTGACCTCTTCGTCTTCATATTATAAATTCATCAAGGTTGAACGACCGAAAGAAATCGAGCTTTTCGAGATTAGCAGTGTAACAAAAAAACAAGACAAAGCAAACCAACTAAATCTGAAGAGGTTAAAAATAATATAATAACAACGCGTCAAAAAAAAGATGCCGAAAAATTACGAAGACTTTATAAACGAACAAACGAATATAGATTTACCATTAACTCCAGCAATAACATAAATGAAACTAATCTTAATTCATTCATAGAAGCTAATTCGGATCAAGAAAAAAATAATTTAGCAGCATCTTCTACAGCTGAAAGTTTTACCATGAACCAGAAACAAATTGACATCTATCAAAAAGGAGAAGGAACAATCAAAGACGAACAAAAAGCATTAAGTGGTACTTGAAAACAGCAGAGTCAGGACACCTTAACGCACAAAATTCTCTTGATTATTGTCATGAAGGAACAATCAAAGATTGACAAACACGATTGGTATTTGAAAGCAGCAGAGTCAGGAGACTTTAATGCACAATATAATTCTTGCTCTTTGTTATGAAAATGGAGAAGGAACAATTAAAGATGAACAAAAAGGATTCGAGTGTACTTGAAAACAGCAGATCCAGGAGATCTTGATGCATAATGTAATCTTGGTTCTTGTAACTTTTATGGAACAATCAAATATGAACAAAAAGCATTCGAATGGTTCTTGAAAGCAGCAGAGTCAGGACACCTTAATGCACAATATAGTCTTGCAATACTTTATAGTGAAAGCATTATATTTAAAAAATAAAGACAGAGCATTAGAATTAAATTTAAAATCTGCTATTTCTGCTCATGAAAGAAACCAATTTTTATTAAAGATTTAGTTATGAAAAAAAGAATTAAGATTTTTCGAAACACCTATTCCATATTAATAAAATTTTCAAGCTTAAATTGAGCTTTATTATTTCCGACTCTGCGCTCTTAAATACCAATCAAATTTTTTGTTATCTTCTTTCTCTTTTTCTTCGCCATACTCATAACATTTTCCAAGTCGAAAATAAAAGAAAGAATTTTCAACTTATCATTGCAGTGGTATCGTAAGGCTGCAGAAAACGGACATGATCGAGCTCCTGAAACGGTCGAATCTTTCGATTTTGAAGTAATTTATTCTAATTATATGTAGCTAGAAATTTTTAAATACTTTAATCAATCGTCAAAAATATTTAATTTTTTTAATAATAATTACAATTAATTCTACTTTGTTTTGAAAATCGACTTTATTATTCTTTGTTGCGAAGCATAGTCATGCCTTTTGTCAAAATTCTTACAAAATTCACACTTTGTACAATTAGGGCCTACGAATTCTTGTAACACTTATGATTGAAAAATTAGATAGTTAGCAACCAAATTGTATACAAAGGACAGCTCTCGTGAGCCAGAATAATAATTTACTGTGCGGTTTGAAGAAAAATAAATAAAATTATTTTTAACACTTACCTAACAAATACTAGGCTTTTATGTCTTAACATGGCCATACAAAGTTGATGAATCACGTTTCTTGGAGTAAACCTATTTTGCGACTTGGAAGATATTATTTAAGTTTTATTAGTAAGTTTCCATAGCTCTTTATTTGAATTGATGTTATATCTTGTCAGTGAATGTTCTTGCGTTCTTTAAATTAAATATTATTATTTTCTACTTTATATTTGCCCCCTTTGAACTCTTTGCCTTTGATTACACAGTTTCCATGTAGATTTGCATAAGAGTAAGAGACCTTCTGTGTAAATCATTCTCCTTGATCCATAGAAATAATAAGATTTTTTTCTTAAAAAATTTCATATTTTGTATCGTACAAAATAATTTATTTTATTTTATTTTATCATATATTAAAATTTATTATGTTCTTTTATCTCGAAGCATAGGTATACTCCTTATGTAAAATTCTTACTAAAATTCACACTTTTTCTTTAGACCCACGAAATCTGTATTGAATTGTGACTTGTATTTTAGATAGTTGTGTAATAACCAAGATATATAAAGGATAGCTCTCGAAGGTCTGAAAGACAGTTAATGTGTGATTTAAAGAAAAATAATTAAATAAAATTTTTTAACTCTTGTCTAACAACACTTTGACTTCATTTCTTTTTGTGTCTTAAGAAAATTGATGCCCTTATTTTTTGTGCTTAACAAAATCGGAAGCGTTATCTTTTTTGCCATAAAAAATGCATTTCGTTTGATTCTTGGATTATTTGATTTTGGAATAAACCTATTTTTGTGGTATGAATTAAGTTACGTTAGTAAACTTTCAAGTTACTTTTATTTTGAATTAAATTATACATGTACGTGTAATAGAGAAATTCGCTATCAAATTTTATGATACCAATATTCACTATAACACTATAACAAATGGTTTATATGGTTTATACTTTGAAAAATAATAAAAATATATTAATTATGCTTTGTAACTTATTGATTAATTGATTTGTAGCTTTATTAATCAATGGATTATAATTTCATTAATTGATTATTCAAGTATTTATCAAGACTGAATTGCTATTTATTCTATGTTGTTTTAATAATTTGATATTTCAAATTATTTAACTGTAATTCATCATTTGTGGCAGTTTTTTAATAAAAAAATTATAAGAATTTAAAATCATGGTTGGCATTTATCATATGCGAAAGCAAAATAATTAGGGTCTACCCCAAAATCCCGACGCCCAACATCACGAAAATCCAACATCCAACAATCCACCATCCTGACAACCTAACATTCCTACTATTTAGCATCTCGACATACCCAACCTTCCGCCAAACTCAATCCCCAGACATAAACAGAAATTATTGTTTTTTATCTTGGAAAATGAACAGAATATATCACAGATAAATTATCTTGGTGCCGTCCAACGTCTCGACACCCATCTTCACGACAACCCAACATCCCGATGCATTTCACATTGTTTACCTTAAATAGTATTATTTTATCGCTATAATCGGTTGGGATACTAACGTTTTTATCAGAGACACAAAGTTCATGTTGACATATATTAATTATTTTTTATGTGTGTACATGTATATGACTAATTTTTTCTGGTAAAATTTGTGTTGTTTAAATGATTTAGATGACTGATAGTCAGTTTTGGAAACTTCGAAGTCAGATGCGCCTGTTATGCGCTGATTTTATCTGCTTTACCCACATCGTGGGAACAAACTCAGAGTTTACACAATTAAATTAGTGTTTCAACTTAAACATTTATAATATATAATAGATAAACTAAAATTCATGCTTATTAATTTAGATGACTGATAGTGATGAAGCTATAAAAGAATTGCGTTTTTTTATTAGTTATCTTCTCTAACGTCACACATATTCTAGTAACCTTAATAATGATAAATTATAACATAAAAACATTAAACAGATTCAAGTTAGTTTACCCCAGATAACATATTTAGTTTTACGCGAAAAGTTATAATATTTGACAAATTTATTTGTTAAACTACAATTAATTTATAGATAAAAGATATCGTAAGTCATCATTACGAGCAAAATTTTTTTTTCTAAACATGATACATTCGGGAAGCATATGTTAACGAAATTCTCATTTATTTTATTAATAAAGATGGTCGACTATAGCACGATCGTTCAGTATGATGACCTGTGTACAGATCTTTTGTTAGATAAAGTAGAGTTATGATATATAGCCAATAGTTACGCGTCTTTCTGCAAAATTTGGTTGTCCAATATATATATGTATATAGGTTTAATACACACAAAATGGGCCCTCAATATAAACCTATTGATCCAAACAATGAATCCTCAAAAGACGCGTATAATACAATCTTTCAAATGCTCAGATTCATTATTGTTAATCCAGATAAAAGTGGCGCTGAGCTCAATGCTTTCAAAGTAAGCATCTTTAATATAAATGTACTAAAATTTTAATACTTAGACGCTTTTAATTATTAATTTATTCAAAATATAGTTCAAAAGTCTTCCAAGAGAGACCTGAACTCGATCTAAACGCAAGAAAGACATTTAAACAGGCTAAAGCCTTTTTGAGTAAGTATTAATAATGAAGAAATATAATAATTTATTAATTTAACTTGTAATTTTTCAAAAATATTAGGCATTTAAAACGATACCTAAACATGTATCACCCAGATGTTGGGTTTGAGCTAGGGGAAACATTGCGTTATGCTAATTCTAAAAAAGTAGAAGAATGTATCCTCGCGACTAAACGTTGAACTAAAGGCGAGATTATGCGATATTGCAATGGAATTCTAGTCGAGCTAACCAAGGAAGAGGAATCAAAGTTGGATGATGAAAAAGATTTTTCTATAATCGTTTCAGTACGTAAAAAAAGAAGTTCTATTTATGTTGGACCTGGTCGCTTTGTCGATGTGAGATACATCTATTTCTTTTTTTGACAATATGTATTTCTCATCATTAATTATTAACTGTATATAATTCTAGCATGATTGTGATCCGAATATCAAAGTAAGTCATTATTTGATATTTTTTGCCTGCTATTTTAGATTGGGAATTTTATTTTTATAATAGTTCTATATACAAGGATCTCAGCATATTTTCTCTTTCAAGCCCTAAGGGACATTGAAATAGGTGAAGAAATTACCTGTTCCTATGGAACAGATTGTTTTGGTGATAACAACTGTGAATGTTTATGTCTAACTTGCGAAAGGTGTTTAATTTCTGATTTAAGATGCATAATTTTAAAATTATTTTACTAATATGTTTCAAGTATATAGGCGAAAGATGAGCGCTAAAAAAGGCAAAGAGCCTGCATATCCAAATTCCTTTGATGTCAATGGCAATAGTAATCAAGAGGAGCCACAATCTTTGGAAATTGGTGTGCGTAAAAGATATTATAAGGGTAGTGATAATTAACTTTAAATTTTGTGTTATAAATAATATCATAAAAACTTACCAAATTGTTCTTTTTCTTTTTTTAGTACACTCTTCTCAAAATGCAAAGCAATCAAAGAATATGACATCAGATTCTGCTAGCTCATTAAAGACCCCAAATTGTCAAGCAACATTCTCATTGAAAAGGCAAGCTCCAATTGTGCAGTCTCAAACATCAAATTTTCCTCTGAAACTCCAACGGTCGAACTCACCGCCATATACAGTGTGACAAAAAAACTTAACTATACTACTAAATTCATCATAAATCCATGAACATTTAAAAGCAAAAAAGTTATAGAATAAAATTTATTAGGCTTAAAAATTGATTTGGTTATCTTTGCTTTCAATACTGTAACTAACTTACAATAACATTTCATCAAATTTATTAAATTATTTAAAATGGTTTTTGGAATAGGTTCCCATTATTCTATCAAAAACTTCTTTAAAATATCCAAATTTTTAGGTATTTATTTCTTAATATTACTCTTAACAATGGCCCATAAATTTTCTATAGGATTAAAATCAGTTTGGATAGTTTAGGTATAGAACAAATATCTTCATTCCAATAATATAATAAGCTATATATCTTTTATTTGCGAGTATTAATAATATTTTAATAGTGAATTTTGCAAGAATTTATTTAACAAGTATAATAAATAAATCTGTTATTTAATTTTAATTCAGTAAAAAATGGTATAAATTAGCTAAAATTGAAGATATTTAATTATTATCTAATATTATCAGCAAATAGTTAAGTTTTTTTGTCACACACTGTATGTTAAAGCAATCTCTTTTAACACAATCTCGGTCTGAAGAGCCAATGCAACGATGTAATAAGTCTGAAAAGACATCAAATTTTAATGTTAATAATACACTGTTTCATCAAAGTCGATCATCAAACGGATTTTCTACCCCGCGAATACAAATTCATCCAACAGGCTCTCAACATATTTTGAATCAATCTCAATCCAGTTCATTACATTCAGCTGCTACGAATAACGTTCAATCTAATCATGCCATCAATCAAACTTAAAGGAGGACTTTTCCATGGTCAGTTGGTCAGTTTCTCAAACAGTACGTCCTGGGACAAGTTATGACCACTAGCTGCTCTTTTACTACTAGTTTTTGTGTGTCCACGACGCCTGGTAATGCGCAGCCAATAATTATCCCTCAACATGTACTATGGTGCCGAAAGTCTTAACTCAACAATAAAAATTGTAATACCTAAAATTTTTTCAACTTCTTAAAAAATAAAATTTTAAAAAATAAACCGGTAACTTTATTCTTTAAGATGAGTACTATTACAAGTTTCTAAAAAATGTTTAGATTAAGCATTTAAAATCTGATGATTTTCATATGACTAGCCCAAATTTGAAACGAACCAAATCACGTGCATGTAATTTTATTGACCAGAATTTAATGCTAATTTGTGCCGACACTATCGTTATTATAATTCCGGCCCGAATTATCGCAATTGATTATACTCGGAAAATATCCTCTTTTGGATAAATTAAATTGTTTTAGTCGATAACTATTTTTTTCACAATTAGGTTTGAAATTAATTATATTTTTTAAAATGCCACGTAAAACAAAAAGACAACAGCAAATTAACAAGATTCCTAGGAAGAAGGACGTTATGCATCTCAGGATCAAGTTACTGCTGAAGAATGGATGGAAGATGAAATTATTGAAGAACGGTCAGAAGATGAGGCTGTTGCAAAGTTTGCAGAAAACAAGATTTTAGAGAATGTAATTTCTGATAATGAAATAGAAGATGAAACTGGCTGGATTAACATAACATAGAACCACTCAAGCTGGAACCGGTTCGAACCGTTCCAGTTCTATATAATTTATATAGAATGTTTTTAACTCGAACCGAACCGACCCATCCCTAGGCAAAGTGACACAAGTCGATCACCTGCAGGCCACATCGGAAAGATTAGGAGTTTTCGGGCGCAGTTAAGGAAACTGAAATACTAATGGTAACATTATGCACAATCTCATAATTGTAATATTTTTGAAAGCACGAAAAAAGTATAAATCGCATTATCAAATTGATTTCCATTTCAAATTGAATATTTAAATATTTGTCAATAATAAATTAGATAAAATATACTTAAATTTTGATTTATCAAATTTTAAACATAAGATGAAGTACATGTAATATGGGAACCATTAACATATGATTTGATAATCGTGGTGTTTAGAAAAAATGGTATAACATATTCAGAGCAACTAGAACAACTAAAATTATTGTTAGCATGGCTGGATTGACTTTTATTGTAGATCCTCTGGATAATCCGATCGTTGTTTTCGGTGTTGACGGTGATGGCACTTCTGATGGTGTCGTTTTAGATGGCGCCAATGACGTCACTTTTGATGTTGATGTTGGCAATGACGTTGCTGTTGGTGATGCTGTTGCTGATGATGATGCCGGTCCATCTATACAACCATCTGTGACGCAGACTTCCCCCGCTCTACAGCAATAACCGTTTCCACAATCTACAGTAGTGTCATCACAACTACCGCTACATCTGTAAATAGAACCATCTGGTATACAAGTTTCGTAGTCGTAACAACATATAGCGACGTACGCACTACATAAGTGAGCGCCAGCTGGGCAACTAACAGAAGCTCTTGGTACCAAAGAGGAGTTTTTGGAGACTTGTTCCTCGAAAAAGCTCCGCTTAGCAAAAAGAACTAAATTGTCTCTTCTTACCGTAGAAAACACGAAATTGCTGAAGGTGACAATGGCGAAGATAAGTGTTAAAGTAAGATTTTTCATATTAAGTTTTTTAGTGTTCACGATTATACGTTGTGGAATTAACAGATTTCAACACTGTATACTGCAGGTATTTATAAATGAGTCCAGTAATTCTTCGCTCTTTATTCTCCTAATTTAAGCGAAAAATACTTTGTTACTTGTTACATGTAATATTGATGCATGTACTTAATTAATAAAGTCGTAAAGTGTTTCAATTTCAACTTTTACGCATCTCTACAGAAGTATCACCGCATTTTACTTATCACGGCATCATCTAACGTTATAACAATAACGGCATCTCGGTATACATTAGATAAATTTCGTGGAGATACAGAAATATACTATATTATGCAAGTGGATTTTGTGAAATAGAATTAATTAGATATACATTTGTAACGTTAATGTTTAGCAAATAAAATAAATAGTCAATATGCTAACTAAAACTGCTATGTTTCCGTTGCCAACATTTATAACTTGGTCATTTGTTTCTTTTGTAAAATCATTCCAATTTTTCAATTTTGCATATATGCACTCTTCACAACTTTTTGTGTAAGAATTTCAAAACATCTAGAACTCTTTTAGAATTTTTGAAATTAACTATAACCTTTTACAGTATTGTGTAGTGCGACAAAAATTCCGACAATGAACTTGACATTTTTGGAGATACAGGAGGTGGACATCTGATATACGGTATAATTTTTATGTTCAATCAAAGAACGTTTCTTTATATGATAATTAATAGACAAACTTGAAATATGATCTTATAAAATAATTAAAATGTTTGTTTCGCCTTTAACATGTCGTAACGATTGTTATATTTTTAAAAGAAGTAAATTTATATTATATTATAATTATTTATCACTTTTTCTATTATTTATTATATACTTTTCTTCCATTTTTCATTTATGAATTTAAAATTCTTTCACTTTGTGGTTGTGTGACAAAAATTGTGACAATGAATGTGAAAAACTACGTTGACATGTACATGTGCAGTGTGATTCAAAATTATTTGTACATGTATCATCATTTAACAATTTAAACATAAATAACTTTACTAATAGTAATAGAATTTTAATTCGAAATGACTTGAATGAGTCTGCTAAAAAATACATATTATAATATCCAAAACAGGCAACGTGGGACATAAAAAGGTTGCCGGTCGCCCAAAGTAATTACTGCGGAAAAATCGCTCAATATGCACGCCGGCATTCCACTATTACTATTACACGACATCTAAAACTTCTTGGTTACAAAATGATGTTCTGAAAATGTAAAAACAACAACGTTGACATTAATATTCAAAATTATTGTAAAACCATGATCATCATTTATTTTTGAAACATAAATAACTTTACTGATTATATATGTATATATCAATATACATACAGTATAACATGTAACAAACTCTCATGAAAGTGTTTCTTTTTTAACTATTATGCCGTCTCTACAAAAATATCACCGCATTTTACTTATTCAGTTTATAACATCATGATTAGAGGTGTGCCTATGAGCATATTTACTAACCGATATCGTAAATGCCCATACACAATTATGCATATGGTTAAGCTCATAAATCATCACCAATTAAGGCAT